TGCCATGTCCTTCTATCTTGAACGCGTCTCTAATTGGAAAATAATTACATGGGCGGTTAGACCCGAAAGTCTATGTGCACCGGGAACTATTCTACAGCTCGGTCATGAATATAAGCACCAGAACATGGACACAGTAGCTTAAGCAACGTGGTATTTGAATAGAACCCCGAACTTTCCTTTCCAGTACTAATCCAGAAGCCCTCTGTGAATAGAACACATCACTGTCATTTCCATCCCGGCTTCTCGGATTACAAACAGCTTAGGGGTATCGTCACTCCAGGGGGCTTGTTGGTCCAGTCAGCTTTTGCTTAGGCCCTCCCCTTGGCCGACGTGTTACAGCCCTCAGCTCACGGTCCGATGGGTCCAAATTACCTTGCACGGCTGGGGAGCTGTACATGGTAATTCAGACGCCGCATCGCGCTGTTGCCTCTTGGGTACGTCAAAGCTGTTGCCTCAGCCCTGTTGAGTGGTTGCCCAGGTCTGTTCGATACCGTCCAGCCCTTCAGGTCATGTCAGTAGTATGCGCAGAGTGTCCGAGATCGACCCAGCCCCTCACGGGGCTCACACAATTTCGAAAATGCTCTAAAACTGTCTATTATGACGCTATGATATCTAAGTGTACAGGCGCGGGGCTCACTCATGCTCTTAAAGTGTTTTTTGTCTTGATCTCCTGTTCTTGAGCTGTCCTTGCACTTGGTCTTGGGCTCCTTGCTCTTGTGAGACCGACTGCTGCATTCCTTTCCGTCCCGCCAGAAGTGCTCTCGCAAAGTGTGTTTTGATGTGGGAGCTCACACTTTAAGAGCACCTCTGTTTTGCGGGACCGTAACGACTCTTCCGCATGTGGCTGCAACTTCGGTATGGCCAATTGGCAGCACGCGCCACTCGCTTTTGGAGCGTGGACACTCGCGGTGGGTCTAGGACCCCTAGGCGCGTGCATGGTGGTAGACGCTCCCAGTCACACCCACCCCAACCTGATTGCTATCGCTACCAACTGCCATACCACTTTGGAGTCTCGGGGCAAGCCTCAGACTGTATCCTGAGAGGTCTCTCTTGAATATATGATAGGACAAGGAGCCCCACGCCCGTACATACATGCATATTCATCTAAAACTACCCTACTGCTATTATACAGCCAGCGCACCTTGTCCTCTCCGCGCCGTCGCTAAAAAATCCAATTTTGTGTTTTGAATGAGAAATGAGTCGGAAAATATTGCCCAATCAGAGCGCGAGTTAATTGTGCGGCGTTTTTGCCATAATTGTAATTTTGGCATAGTTAGGTCGAGTCAGAAAGAAAGGCGCCGTCCATAAGATGGGACCCAAATGCTTTAGAAAGGGGCGAGAGTATGTCACCCCCCGCTAAAAGAGCCGGCCCAAGCAGAAAGAAAGCGGAGGTGCGAACGCAAGGCATTGTACAGCAGGGAAAGCACAGAACGCAACAGTTTATCTCGTTAAAGGAAGCGCGTAAAAGTGGGTTAGATATCTCTCCATTTTTATTCCATCTCCATCTCAAACACGTTTTGCTCATTCCTAGAGTTTTTGTGTCGCCAGATTTTACTCATCGAAATGTGTTTATCACTCGGCTTTTGAGTCGTTGTCTGTACCTGCATTTATATTTGGCTGCTTTTTAAAATGAGCACTCATACGCTTCGAAACTGTTATGACAGGGTAAACGAAATCGCTGTGATTATCACGGGATTTTGGATAAAATCCAGAGAACGGGTGCAAAATTATCCCCCCTTCTGTGACACCACCTTATTTTCCCGCTTAAGTACGGGAGCATTATTTTATCCCCTTTTCTCTCATTCCGGCTCGAAGAGATATGGTGAAGCCCTTCTGCGCGATTGTTGGTGTGGCGGGAAGCGCATTCGAGGTGGACATAGACGAGAGTGCGTCGGTTTCCGCGTTAAAGAAGGCGGTGAAGGAGGAGAACGCATCGACGATCACATGCGACGCCAAGAACCTGCAGCTCTTCCTGGCGAAGAAGAAGAAAGGCGCTGGTGTGTGGCTAACGGAGAACGACGCGAAGGACGGTGTCAGTGACACGAGTGATTTGAAGCTATTGGGCGTTGCAGGAGCGCCGCTCAGCTTGGTTGGCTTGTCGGAGAAGGACGTCAAGTTCGTACCCACTCTAGAGGATGTCGAGTCGATGAACACACCTGTTCACGTGCTGGTGGCGTTGCCTCCTGGGACAAGTAGTGCGCCTATTTCTGATGGGACGGACTTATGGCTGTCGAGATTTCAACATTGTGAAGTTGCAAAACTTACGCTACTGCCGACACGCGGAGATCTAAATAAATTTATCGGACAACCTCTCCCTGTAAAGATTGGGTTACCGCAGTCTGTGTTTCAAGCTTGGTCGAGTCCATTGATACTAGGCCAACTCCTTCGAGATAAATTGTTCGAGCTAAACGACATTTCGCCGTGCGAATTTTTAAAAGATTCGGTGTTTAGCGCTGCGTTCCTGTACCCGCAGGTGGATGGGGATGCCACAGAGAGTGCATTTCATTATTTCTGGGACTCAATTATCCGTGTGGTGCTCGGGTTTGTGTTTAGGCGTGCTTACATCAACCGGGATTCGAGTAGGAAATCCTCGTCAGGTTTGAAGCGACCCGACTTTTTGTTTGCTTTGGATCATATCTGTGTTTTTCGTGGTGAGGAGAAAGAACCTCGTACTTCTATCACTGTGCCTCGTGAGGAGCTCTCTAAAAAGCTGGTGTGGTCCTACCGCGGAGAGGCGTATGTGTTTTGCTATGCTGCGTCGGGCTTCGAGCTAGAATTATTTGCTATCTATCAAGACGTCACGGGCAACGTTAAAACCCACCTTATTGGAGGGTTTAACTTGCAGCATGCGCCGTAACGTTTTCGACTTGTACTGGCACTTCTGAATTTGTGTCTGCTTTTCCCGGCAATTGTGCAAAACTGTCCGGCCTCGGCAGGGACCGAGTTCATGGACATCCATCGCGCCAATGGCGTCAAGGTGCGGTTGAGTCCGATTTTCGTCGATAAGATCTTTCATACGCAAGAAGAGTATCGTCGCGTGAAGCAGATCTACGATTCTTTGAAAGCTTATGGGGTTCCTTGTGCCGATGCAGTCGTCACGGTGGATTCAGACCAATTGAGGTTGACACTTAAGCCCCGCGGCATTGAGATGAAGCCATGCAGCTTGAGTGAACTGTTCGTCGCGCTCGGGAACGTTCTCGAGGCCCTTGTAGTCCTCCATCGCAACGGGTGGATGCACAGAGACATCCGTTGGTCTAACGTGATCAAGCATATCGACCGCGTTGAATGGTTTTTGATCGACTTCGCTGATGCAGCTCAAAGTCCGCAGAAATATCCCAGCGGCGATCACTTGACGCACGACGAACACGCTTCAGATATTTTTATGGAAGGTGGATCCCACACGACTGCGGTTGACTTATGGGCCGTGGGATACCTGGTGAAGACAAGTAAGATTGAACGGGAATGGACTGCGGAGCCCGAAAGAGCGCTTTTCCTAGATCGGTTGATGAACCCAGACCCGAGTGCTCGGCCGACGGCAGACGAAGCCTTACAGCTTCTGTCACGTTTTGAACGTGAAGCTGCTGAGCAGGAATCACAGGGCAAGGGTGTGCGCAAGAAGCACAGACGTGCCTGAATTTTTACATCGCTATGGCACTACCATTACGCGCTGGGACGAAGTACTATGGAACTAACAACAGGAGTAGTCGATGAATGAGCAACACACGTTTACTTCGAATGTATGAGAAATCTCGGTTGACGAGAGAAACTCGTTGACACACCGCAGCAGCTATCATGCGGTGCGAATGTGGCCACTGGTTGTCGTATACGCCCGCCTTCACGGCGGCCACCACGATACTATCTCTAGTCGGTTAAGTACACCATCGCAGCCTTCTCTATTAATCCCTGAACGTTGGAAATCGTCGCGGTCTGCACCGTCGCCGGCATGTTTGCGTTGAGGGGACGGTGCCAAAGTTGTCAATATCACTCATCGTGATTGTGCCGTAGACGGTGAGTTGAGTGGTAGAATGAAAAGCCGGTCTTTTGCATCTAAATAAGCTCGGAGCAGCGGGAACATCGTGGCACTTGCGCAAACCCGTGCCATTCCACTCCGTTATGTTCGGATTGCTATTCGTGGCGAGCCTGTGCATCACGCGGTTATTTATCACTTGGACGGATTTGCTGTGGTGGCCATAGTGTTGGTCAGCGTCTTGTACGACCACGTGACCGCATCGGCCGAGTTAGCAAACTGTCCCTAGAGTATTGAGCGCGAGAGCACGATTACTTCTACGAACTATTAAATGTAGTACATTAGAGCCTTAAGTTGATGCTCCTAGCAGCCAGAGGTGCAAGCATGCAGCTGGTTACTACTACGTAGTGTTAATATCCCGCTACTGATGCCAAGCAACTTGGCAAAACTTCATGCGGACGGTGGTGTTGAATTAAGCAGGCCCAGTTTCCACGATGGAAAATGGAATCCATCATTCTGACGACCAGACAGTCTGGCAGAGACCGTCAAGAACTTCTCGAATTGTGGTATCCAGTCACTGCAGTCCAGAGACACTGCCAGTGTGTCCAACAACAAAAAATCGTAGAGGTACTAATGGGTTGTCCGTCAACATGGCGGCTGAATTAGAATGTAAAGTTCCAACCACACTATGATTCGGTTATTAATAATAAGAAGAGCGCTGACCGTGTACAGACTCAGAAGGAAACGCTGTAAGTCGCAGCATGGTGCGTAGTGACGGCAGGAAGTTCCGGATCTTAGCCCAAAAGAAACCTCAGACGCAACAAATTTTGCCGTTTACACTTGGGTTTTGTATTAGAAAAAAAACAACACGACAGTTGCCTTTGTCGAACAGAAAATTAGAAATGCCCATACTGTACCATAACATAAAATCTCCGACCTCCGACAGTAACATAAAACGGGGTTTAAACAAAAATACTGCATGTACTTGTTAAAATTTATGCATTTATTTTTTAAATTTGCACTTTTACTTTAAGTTTAAAAAAAGAGGGAAATGGTTCGGACGTCGAGCGAGTGGAGTGGCGGCAATGGTGGCGACGGTGGCGAGCTAGAGTGGAAGAAGCGTGAGGGGGCAGAGTGAATGAGGTGGTGAGCAAGGGTGGCGACGTCCGCGACAGTGGAAGGGCGGCGTGCGGGTGGCGGATACTGCAGCAACGGTAACAGCGGGGAGGCGGCAGTGGGTGGATGGTGTGGAGAGCCGGGAAGGTGAGGAAAGCACTGATGGCGATGGTCGAGCTGGACGTGGACGGCGCGTTGTTTGACAGCGCTGCCGTGTGGTCGGCGCTCTGGGCCGTGGACGCGGAAGTTCGGGCGTTTGCGAAAGTGTCACGATGTTCCCGCTGCTCCGAGCTTATTTAGATGCAAAAGACCGGCTTTTCATTCTACCACTCAACTCACCGACTACGGCACAATCACGATGAGTGATATTGACAACTTTGGCACCGTCCCCTCAACGCAAACATGCCGGCGACGGTGCAGACCGCGACGATTTCCAGCGTTCAGGGATTAATAGAGAAGGCTGCGATGGTGTACTTAACCGACTAGAGATAGTATCGTGGTGGCCGCCGTGAAGGCGGGCGTATACGACAACCAGTGGCCACATTCGCACCGCATGATAGCTGCTGCGGTGTGTCAACGAGTTTCTCTCGTCAACCGAGATTTCTCATACATTCGAAGTAAACGTGTGTTGCTCATTCATCGACTACTCCTGTTGTTAGTACCATAGTACTTCGTCCCAGCGCGTAATGGTAGTGCCATAGCGATGCAAAAATTCAAACACGTCTGTGCTTCTTGCGCACACCCTTGCCCTGTGATTCCTGCTCAGCAGCTTCACGTTCAAAACGTGACAGAAGCTGTAAGGCTTCGTCTGCCGTCGGCCGAGCACTCGGGTCTGGGTTCATCAACCGATCTAGGAAAAGCGCTCTTTCGGGCTCCGCAGTCCATTCCCGTTCAATCTTACTTGTCTTCACCAGGTATCCCACGGCCCATAAGTCAACCGCAGTCGTGTGGGATCCACCTTCCATAAAAATATCTGAAGCGTGTTCGTCGTGCGTCAAGTGATCGCCGCTGGGATATTTCTGCGGACTTTGAGCTGCATCAGCGAAGTCGATCAAAAACCATTCAACGCGGTCGATATGCTTGATCACGTTAGACCAACGGATGTCTCTGTGCATCCACCCGTTGCGATGGAGGACTACAAGGGCCTCGAGAACGTTCCCGAGCGCGACGAACAGTTCACTCAAGCTGCATGGCTTCATCTCAATGCCGCGGGGCTTAAGTGTCAACCTCAATTGGTCTGAATCCACCGTGACAACTGCATCGGCACAAGGAACCCCATAAGCTTTCAAAGAATCGTAGATCTGCTTCACGCGACGATACTCTTCTTGTGTATGAAAGATCTTATCGACGAAAATCGGACTCAACCGCACCTTGACGCCATTGGCGCGATGGATGTCCATGAACTCGGTCCCTGCCGAGGCCGGACAGTTTTGCACAATTGCCGGGAAAAGCAGACACAAATTCAGAAGTGCCAGTACAAGTCGAAAACGCTCCGGCGCATGCTGCAAGTTAAACCCTCCAATAAGGTGGGTTTTAACGTTGCCCGTGACGTCTTGATAGATAGCAAATAATTCTAGCTCGAAGCCCGACGCAGCATAGCCAAACACATACGGCACTCCACCGTAGGACCACACCAGCTTTTTAGAGAGCTCCTCACGAGGCACATTGATAGAAGTACGAGGTTCTTTCTCCTCACCACGAAAAACACAGATATGATCCAAAGCAAACAAAAAGTCGGGTCGCTTCAAACCTGACGAGGATTTCCTGCTCGAATCCCGGTTGATGTAAGCACGCCTAAACACAAACCCGAGCACCACACGGATAATTGAGTCCCAGAAATAATGAAATGCACTCTCTGTGGCATCCCCATCCACCTGCGGGTACAGGAACGCAGCGCTAAACACCGAATCTTTTAAAAATTCGCACGGCGAAATGTCGTTTAGCTCGAACAACTTATCTCGAAGGAGTTGGCCTAGTATCAATGGACTCGACCAAGCTTGAAACACAGACTGCGGTAACCCAATCTTTACAGGGAGAGGTTGTCCGATAAATTCATTTAGATCTCCGCGTGTCGGCAGTAGCGTAAGTTTTGCAACTTCACAATGTTGAAATCTCGACAGCCATAAGTCCGTCCCATCAGAAATAGGCGCACTACTTGTCCCAGGAGGCAACGCCACCAGCACGTGAACAGGTGTGTTCATCGACTCGACATCCTCTAGCGTGGGTACGAACTTGACGTCCTTCTCCGACAAGCCGACCAAGCTGAGCGGCGCTCCTGCAACGCCCAATAGCTTCAAATCACTCGTGTCACTGACACCGTCCTTCACGTCGTTCTCCGTTAGCCACACCGCAGCGCCTTTCTTCTTCTTCGCCAGGAAGAGCTGCAGTATGTCAGGTCGCCTCGTGTACTTCAGCTTGTCTGCGATGACTTCCTTCGCCTTCCACACTTGCTCACCGTCGTCCATCTCCACACCAAACGCGCTTCCCACCTCCCCGACAATTGCACACACCAGAGTAATCTTCCCCATATTTCCTGGAGCTGTCTAGTATCTGGAATGAGGGAGAGAATTTCTGGCGTACTTAAGCGAAAACAAAATTTGTAAAGCCTATTTAATCTGGGTCGTCTTGTTTCAAATATCCTTGGACCAAAAAGACGCGTGTCACATAGACTTCCAACCAATGATGAGACGCCACGCCTCGAGGCGCTTCGAAAAAACATAAGAAATGTATTTTGAGTGACTCACTGAATAGGACCAAAACTGCAATGGCTTAAATTTCACAATACCTTTTTTGGTGCGCTTCGCGTGTGCGTGCTTCTGCGCTGAATTAATGCGCTCTTGGTATTGCTCAGGTGAGTATGCTGCCATCTTTGTATATTACTACAGTAGTATTAATTTTTATATTTATCAGGATAAGCTAAGAAGCTGATAGTCTTAGGCAAGCATTGACACTACAACACAGCGATAAATATCCATTCGCGATAGTGACTCGTAAAGATCGAAACGACGAACTACGTATACATGTAAGAGTACATAGGCATCGACTGGACTAACTGTCGCGCATAATCCATCCGCCTCGCCATGAGAAACTCTGGTTCTACCACATCTGCCATCAACTCGTATCGTTCCATCATCTCCTCTGCACGAGCATCAACCGGCTGGGGCAAGAAGTCATCAACTTGAAAGATCCAGGCAAGAACGACGGAGGAGGTGGGGCAGACTCCGTTCGTCTCAGTACGGCTACCTCGATAAATCTGAACGCGTTCTTCGGATACTTCAACGTAACTTGGGTCAGAACGTGCTTGTCGCTGAACCAAGAGAAATGCCAGTGGTCGTTTAAATCCGTCAACAAACTCAGCGGATAGCAATTGAGAGGCGCCTTCATGCTGCAGCTCACAAGCTGACCAATTGCTAGAGGAACATGGCCCGGTTCGACTTTCTTCTTGAGCTCGATCACCAAGCTGACCCCAGCCAGCTTAATGGCTCTCCCATAGAACACGCCCGCTTTTAAGAAATAATTTTCTAAATTAAAGAACACCTAATTTGACGAACTAGATTTATTCATTTCTAATTAGCTGACTTGGGTGGTGCGTCCGCTTGCGATCTCATGGCGGCGTCGCGACCTGGACCTGTCTGTGGCGCTGCGCTCAATGGTATTCGTGAACGAGACGGTATCGTTGCCGCCGAGGCAGTTGGTGTCTGTGGCTTTGGATCGCGCGTCTGCGTTGCTGGTCGGCGCTCTGGACGTGCAGAGCGTGAGCATGGCTAGCCTGGCAGTTCCTCGTTGGAGCGACTTCGTGCTGCTGCACCGCGTGAAGAACGGTGGTGAATGGCAAGTGTCGGGCGAGTTGCAGTCGAGCGATGCGAGGTGGCTGAAGACTGCGGAGGTGGTTCTGGCGCCGCGCACGGCCAAGTCTCAGGCTAGCCAAGTCTCAGGCTGTGACGGTGTAAACGAACGTGAGGCTCCGAACGTGACACTGGTGGACGCGGTGTCGTCGCAATCCGTGGTGGTGGAGGTCTCACACTTGGTCCGGAGCATACCGGACCCAGGCTGTGACGGTGTAAACGAACGTGAGGCTCCGAACGTGACACTGGTGGACGCGGTGTCGTCGCAATCCGTGGTGGTGGAGGTCTCACACTTGGTCCGGAGCATACCGGACCCTCGGTCTCTGGTGTCGACTGCACTGCTGCAGCCGATCGTGGTGGAGAACCGGGAGGACGAGCCTGCGTTGGTTTCGATGGCGGACTTGGGCGCGTTGGTCCGCCAACGCGACTGCAAAATGAGTTAAACTGTGTGGCAGTGGGGGCCGTAGCGGGCGTATTTTCAATTCGTATACTAAAACGAAGTGTAGTGGTTACGGGGTAGTGTTCAATTGGGCGGGAAAGCGGGCTTGTTTCCTGAGTCTCGCGCCAAATCAATAAGTGCCAATAATGTGGTACACACATGTAACATTGTTTGTTCAGATTTAATTTTATTTTCAGATTTAGAATTAATCTGTCAGATTTAGAAAAGCGGGTGTGTTCTATGCTTAATCAGTGGGTTCTTCGCTGTTCGATTGATGAGCAATACATCAGCTGTGCCTTTCATAGCAAACGGAAGTCTTGGGTCCACGATGTTAAGAACTGATTTATCGCCCGCAATGTCATCCAACAAGAAGTCTCCTCGATCGATCAGCGTCTTCAAATGCTGCTGCAAGTACGCCATGTACCCAGCCCTTTGACTTTCCTCGCTCTCCACGATTTTTGGAATCCACGAATAACCGGCGATGGAAGTATCGACTGGCTCCTTGACATCAGGAATATTTTCGGTCAAGCGCATCTTCTTGACAATTCGCTCTTCCATCGCAGTATTCAGATCGGAAAACGAATACGCAGACGCCTTCTCATCTCGTTCCCTGAGGACCTTATTCATTGACATCTCCACTTGCTCTAGAGTCAGTGGCGTTGTCGCTGCAGACATCTCTTTTGAGATAGTACCGTCTTGCTCCGGAACCACCACCAGCACGTGAACAGGTGTGTTCATCGACTCGACATCCTCTAGAGTGGGTACGAACTTGACGTCCTTCTCCGACAAGCCAACCAAGCTGAGCGGCGCTCCTGCAACGCCCAATAGCTTCAAATCACTCGTGTCACTGACACCGTCCTTCGCGTCGTTCTCCGTTAGCCACACACCAGCGCCTTTCTTCTTCTTCGCCAGGAAGAGCTGCAGGTTCTTGGCGTCGCATGTGATCGTCGATGCGTTCTCCTCCTTCACCGCCTTCTTTAACGCGGAAACCGACGCACTCTCGTCTATGTCCACCTCGAATGCGCTTCCCGCCACACCAACAATCGCGCAGAAGGGCTTCACCATATCTCTTCGAGCCGGAATGAGAGAAAAGGGGATAAATAATGCTCCCGTACTTAAGCGGGAAAATAAGGTGGTGTCACAGAAGGGGGGATAATTTTGCACCCGTACTCTGCATTTTATCCAAAATCCCGTGATAATCCAGCGATTTCGTTTACCCTGCCATAACAGATGAGTGCTCATTTTAAAAAGCAGCCAAATAATAAATGCACGTACAGACAACGACCCAAAAAGCCGGAGTTGATAAACACAATTCCGATAGTAAAACCTGCGACACAAAATCTCGTACGACTAGCAAAACATGTTTTGATTGGATGAATAAAACTGAGAGTATCTACCCCATTTGCCGCTTCCTTACCGAGTAACCTGTCGGTCTGTCTGTCCGTCTGTCAATCCGTCCGTCGCACTCCCTGTCTTCCTGCTTTGACCTGCCTTTTCGCATGGCTACACTCGCCCTTTCTAAAGCATTTGGGTCCCATTTTATGGACGGCGCCTATCTTTCTGACTCGACCTAGCTATGCCAAAATTACAATTATAGCAAAAACGCCACACAATTAACTCGCGCTCTGATTGGGCAATATTTTCCGACTCATTTCTTATTCAAAACACAAAATTGGATTTTTTAGCGACGGCGCGGAGAGGACAAGTTGCGCTGGCTGTATAATAGCAGGAGGGTAGTTTTAGATGAATATGCATGTATGTACGGGCGTGGGGCTCCTTGCCCTATCATATATTCAAGAGAGACCTCTCAGGATACAGTCTGAGGCTTGCCCCGAGACTCCAAAGTGGTATGGCAGTTGGTAGCGATAGCAATCAGGTTGGGGTGGGTGTGACTGGGAGCGTCTACCACCATGCACGCGCCTAGGGGTCCTAGACCCACCGCGAGTGTCCACGCTCCAAAAGCGAGTGGCGCGTGCTGCCAATTGGCCATACCGAAGTTGCAGCCACATGCGGAAGAGTCGTTACGGTCCCGCAAAACAGAGGTGTTTTTAAAGTGTGAGCTCCCACATCAAAACACACTTTGCGAGAGCACTTCTGGCGGGACGGAAAGGAATGCAGCAGTCGGTCTCACAAGAGCAAGGAGCCCAAGACCAAGTGCAAGGACAGCTCAAGAACAAGAGATCAAGACAAAAAAAACATTTAAAGAGCATGAGTGAGCCCCGCGCCTGTACACTTAGATATCATAGCGTCATAATAGACAGTTTTAGAGCATTTTCGAAATTGTGTGAGCCCCGTGAGGGGCTGGGTCGATCTCGGACACCCTGTGCATACTACTGACATGACCTGAAGGGCTGGACGGTATCGAACAGACCTGGGCAACCACTCAACAGGGCTGAGGCAACAGCTTTGACGTACCCAAGAGGCAACAGCGCGATGCGGCGTCTGAATTACCATGTACAGCTGCTTGGTCCACAGCCGTGCCAGGTAATTTGGACCCGTCGGACCGTGAGCTGAGGGCTGTAACACGTCGGCCAAGGGGAGGGCCTAAGCAAAAGCTGACTGGACCAACAAGCCCCCTGGAGTGACGATATTCCTAAGTTGTTTGTAATCCGAGGAGCCGGGATGGAAATGACAGTGATGTGTTCTATTCACAGAGGGCTTCTGGATTAGTACTGGAAAGGAAAGTTCGGGGTTCTATTCGAATACCACGTTGCTTAAGCTACTGTGTCCATGTTCTGGTGCTTATATTCATGAAATAGCTGTAGAATAGCTCCCGGTGCACATAGACTTTCGAGTCTAACCGCCCATGTAATTATTTTCCATTTAAATTAGGCGACAGACGCTTTTAAGATAGAAGGGCATGGCAAGAGCCCCGAGGAAAAGAAAAAGGTTCCCCAACAACTGTGTAGCGGGCTTTTGCGCAGAAGTAACTCGACTAACTGTGTCTAATTATTAGAATTACCCGCGAGGGATTAGATGAGCGCGTACAACGAGCCCGGCGTGAGAACGCATCCCAATCCCAAGAAGAGTCGCGTAAGGAAAGAAAAATCCGCAAAAAAAGGCTTCGTGAAGCGGAAGCGCGGTACCGCAAGGCAATCCAAGAATTGGAGCAGCTTGACTTAGTCGAAACACCAGCACAAACGGGAATCGATCAGCTGCGCGTATCTGGCTTAGCCGCTGAGCGTGAGGAGAAGACTGAAGAAGATGACCCCGTTGTGCATCAACGTCGCTTCGAGGAGGACTCGCATCGCGAAGACCCTGTCGATAACGCCTGCGGTTTCCAGATTGGAGTGTCAGGGAATGCAGCTGACGATAGAGCTGCGGCTAAACGTGCGCGCGATGCAGAAAGAGCCCGGGTCAGGCGAGCTGCTATGACGAGCTCGCAAAAGCAACGGGCACGAGTGAAGGACGCCGAAAGGAAAAGAATTCGTAGGGCTAACAGATCCGAATCTCAGGTTACCCGAGATCGCGGTCAAGATGCCGATCGAGCAAGGGTACGGCGCGGTAGAATTCCACCAGAAGAGCTTGAAATTCATCGAGAATACATTCGAAGCACACAAGCCATTCATAGAGCCGCAAGTACAGAGGAAGATCGCCTAGATGCTAGGATTCGCGATGCGGCGACACATGAGGAACGCAGGGCGTGCATGACCGACGAACAGCGTCACGCCGAGCGTAGCCACAATACTGCATCACGAAGAGAGCACAGAGAGGACATGCCCGATGTGCAGCGACAAGCGCGGCGTGAGCGAAATGCTTCGGGACGACAAGAGCACAGAGATGGCATGTCTGACGAGCACCGACAAGTAGAACGCGAGCGAGATACGGCAGCGCATAGAGATCACAGACGATGCATGTCAGAGGAGCAGCGGCGAGCACAGCGCACCCAAGACGCTGCCGCGCTTAGAGCACGGAGGGAAGCCATGACGGATGAACAAAGGGCGCAGCCAAAGGAAAAAGAGCGGTTTCGAAGGCGGTCTCGCCAGTACAAGAAGGGCCTCGCACACCACGAAAGTTTTGACCCTTCCAGCGTTTCCGGGGGGGGGCGCCACTACTTTACGCGTTACACTAACGACAACGGGGAGAACGAGCGAATTTGTCACTACTGCAACGCTTGGAAGTTTCCACAAGAGACAGACGGATGCTGTTGTCGTAACGGACTGGTGTTCGTTCCGACTTCGCGAACAGCACCTGATGCGCTTCTAACACTTTTTGAAAACCCGACTTTCATGCGGTCAATCCGGGCCTACAACAACGTATTTGCATTTACGTCCATGGGAGCTTCGCGGTCTCGGCCTCTTAATGTCGACGAAAGCGTGACACGAAATGGTGTCTACAACTTCCGTGTACAAGGGTCAGTGTGCCATCGCTTGGGATCGTTACTACCTCCTACCTTCGGTCGCTCCATGTATGCCCAAGTTTACTTTAACGATCCGGACATTGATGCACGTGTGAGAAGCCGTATGAACATGACCCATGGCCTCGATCGCGCCGTTATGGAAACGATTGACCAGATGCTAGTGGCGCACAATCCGTACACACAAGAATTTATCAGCGCGCGTAGAGTTTTGATAGATCGTGGTTGGGATGAGTATGCAGCTGCCATCAGGGAGCACGAACGACGCCGAGCGGCAGGGGAAGACGTTGATGAGCATGATCCGTCATTAGCCTTGAGTAATTTTCTTCCGGAGGGGGATCACCTTAAGCTGCGTCTGCATGTCACACGGAATGCAAACCCGGGTACGCATAACACCCCCACTGCATCAGAGGTGGCAGCCGTTGTGATCGATACAAACGCGGCTGAGCATCGGGATATAATCCTACACACGACAGGAGGGGGTTTCAAGCGCATATTTGAGACGAGCGTTACCTACGACCCGCTGCAGTACCCTCTACTGTTTCCGTACGGGGAGAATGGCTGGACTTACGATATCCCGTACGCTGGTAATCCCGTCGATCGCCACGGTGACCCCTTAACCATGTCCGTTCGGGAATATGAGGCGTATCTGCTTTACGACCGGACGGTTAGTAATTCTCTTATCCTGCGCGGTGGGCGACTGACGCAGCAATACTGCGTTGACCAATGGGCCAAATGCGAACAAGAACGCCTGCGCTTCGTCAAGAAGAACCAGCTCCAGTATCGATTGGAAACCCTCCAGGGCCTCACGGACGCGTTGCGTGGCGAGTCTGTTGTAACCCACAGAATGGCAGCTGACGACGAGGCGGCCATACGTAGGACTCGCCGTGGGAATAATACGGAGCAGGAGTCAGCGAGGCCAGATGCGGGTGAGGTTGGGCGCAAGATCATCATACCTCCGAAGTTTACAGGTGGACCCCGCTACATGTACCAACGCTTCTTGGATGCCATGGCTATCGTCCGTGAAACAGGAGCCCCGAGCCTGTTCATTACGATGACATGCAACCCGAACTGGCCTGAGATCAAGGAAAACTTACGCCGTGGAGAAAAAGCATCCGACCGACCGGACATCGTGGCTCGCGTGTTCATGGAGAAACTAAAAGCTCTTAACAAGGATCTCGATGAGGGTGTACTGGGGATTCAAGCCGCTCGAGTGCATGTAGTGGAATATCAGAAGCGTGGTCTTCCCCACGCCCACATACTGCTTATCCTGCGTCCGGAGGACAAGCCCACTACCAAGGAAGACGTCGATAAGCTGGTGTCCGCGGAGTTCCCGGATAAAGAGAAGTACCCCGAGCTGTACGATACGGTGATTTCCAATATGCCGCATGGATCCTGTGGTCAACAGAACCCGAACTGCCCGTGCATGAAGAACGGAAGGTGTTCCAAGAAGTTTCGAAAGGCGCTCGCGGACGAAGCTGTGATGACCCTCGACAAATACCCCACGTACAAGCGTGGTCGCCGTCCGGATTGAATTTTGTGCCATAAGGGGAAAGTATGGGACAACGCGACCATCAATCAATGGGTGGTCCCGTACAATCCGTTCCTGTCGCAGAAATACAACTGCCACATCAACGTAGAGGTTTGTGCCACGAACAAGGCCATCAAGGTTATCTACAAGTACGCCTACAAGGGCTCGGACATGACG